CTCTGCGGTTGAACGAACGCTCACAAACAGAGCAGGCATTGGACGAGCTCCAGAATGGATAATGCCATGTTGAAGCAGGTGTCCTCTCTTCTTGAACCCCTTTCCACATTCATTGCAACAGTATGACTTATCTGGACTTGAGCAAGCGGAAGACATGGGGTCTGGATTTTCATGCTGGTGGTGAGCATTTTGAGAAATTCCATCTTGTGTTGAGTGGGGGAGATCTGACTGATGCTGATGGCTCGGGTTTGTGCTGCTGTTGGGACGACTGCCATCTTCTTCATGGCAGCGTATGTGTCGACGAAGCTTGGGAGGTGGTGGTTAAAGACTTGCCGCACTCTCCACAATGAAAGAGAGGTTCTTGCTCAGGCTGTGCGATATTGGAGTCATTGATTGCTGATTTTCAGTTTTGGGTTTTGAGAGATATTTGATACCAGCACAGAAGCAGAGTTTGAAGATGGGGCAGAGGAAGAAGAGGAGGAGACAGTTGAAGAAGAGGAGGATGGTGTTGATGAGGAGAGGATGGAGGAGGTCACCACCAAGACCCCTCATTCCAACCCCTCCACCTCCTCCCACAAGACCAGAGGACCCATCATGACCATGTGCCCAGAGCTGCCATGACAGTTAGCACTGCTGGTACTGCTGCTACTGTTACCTTCTGCCTTCCTCTGGGGCAGGTAGCCAGCCATGGCTTTCTTTCTCCTGCTGCCACTACCTCCACTTCCTCCAGCCCCAGATCCACTATCTCCTTTGCCATCATCTTTTGTAAGGAGAGATGGAGTGGAGTGGCAAAGGCAGGCCTGCTTCTTGTTGCATTAGGGAAGCCAGTTGATTAGACGAAAGAACAGGAATACCTTGGAAATCAAAACACCAAGTGGTGATGGTTGGGGGGGGTGTAGAGGGTGGTGTGGATGGGCATGGCTGTGAGGGTGGGACAACGCATGAGGTGGCAGCTGCTGCTGCTGTTGTTGGGGCTGGGGAGTTGGATGGCCATGGGTGTGGGAAGGATGAAGGGCGGGAGGAGGAGCAAGACCTGTATTCGAATCTGCAAGACCTAGATGATTATGGGGACCCTGCTGAACTAGAAACTGTTCCAAACTGGCATTTGTGGGCACTCCAGAAAACAGGTATTGGTTTGCAGCGAGCATGCAGCTGAACTGCTGGTGTAAACTTCTTGCATCAGACTGGGCTCCGACTAATCCAGCCACTGAGCTGCTACTGCTGGGTGGATTATTAGAAGTGGTGTTGAACTCGAGGGGAGGGGGATGACGAGGATGGTCCAGGAGATGGCTGAGGAACGGAAGACCAGGGTGCAAGGACCAGGGTGCAAAGCGTGGTGGTGGCGCAGATGTTACAACTCCTCCAGTACCCTCCAGAAAAATCAAAACGTCCCATTCCTGAGTGAAGCTGCTCCTGGCTAGCGCAGCCTCAGCAGGTGAAATGTGCGAAGAAACTGTGGATAGCCAGAGGCAGAACTGCCACTCCCACTGCCGTGCTCATCTTGCTTGATTTGCGTGTGCTTTGTGATGATGTGGACTGAGTTTGTTGTGGAAGAGGTGGAGGGGGCGCACTCATTTTGGCAAATAATGATGAAGAATCTGCAAATGCATTACTTCTAGATCCTTGAAGGGAACCAAGTCCAAGGCCAGACAGGAGGCCACCAGATGCCTCACTTTGTTGTTGCTGCTGCTGTTGAAGCTGCTGCTGGTGCTGAAGTTGGACCTGTTGTTGGTGCTGAAGTTGTCTTTCCAGCCCCAGTCCTTTGAACTGGTGAGCCTGGTGTCCACTAAGCATTTCTAAAATGTCCATAGGGTACTTTCCAAACTGAAACATCTCCCCCTCACTGTTTGAGGGCGTTTTAGGATTTTAATCCCTGTTCACCTGGTACTGCAGCAAAGTAATCTAACCTAAAAGACACTAGGGCCACTAACAATCAATATAAAGTTTTAAAGTAATCTGCTAGCAGCTCCAGTTTTTAGAAAGCAATGTCTTTGTGGGAGTAATTTGATGTTGTGACTGTCCATCCCAAACAAACAGAGTTTTGACTATACGTGAGAAAAGTCTGGAAGTCTTGGATTAAATAATAATCTATAAATAAGAAAAAAGTTGGTTTACAATATCATGCAATAATCACGTCTGCGTTGGTCTTCCAAATTACTATTTCTACAGTTAAAACAGTAAAAACATGTCTAATACTACCATATGAAATATGTTTTTACAAAATGTGTTTATCACTAAAAAGCAAATCCTTTAGTGTTGAAAGCCATTTAAAACAGAAGCGATGAGGGAATGTCTGTCTGCCTTGCTATTTGTGTATTCCTTTGACAAGTTCTGAATAAAATTGTTCCACTTTGTGACTTCTCAGAAATGTCCTCATTTAAAGAGAAAACTGTGGTGAGCAACTTTCAATCATCCAAGTCGGGAGTTAAAAGGTAGAATGTTAGATAGTCCACAGAGTCTATTCAACCTTTGTCTTTAACACCTCAGCTGGAAGACCACAAACACAGCACAGTGGTATGACCAAGTAGTTCTTCTCCTTTCTTCTGTGGGCACCCTGTTAGTCCTTAAAAAAAGAGAGAGAGAGAGAGAGATCAAAATTAGTAAGGCTTTCAATCAAAGGATCTAAATTTCAAAACAAAAGGTGGTACAATCAAGACATGGGAAGCAATGACTCACAAAGCTAAGGCACAGCATAACCTTAAACCAAAAAGTTTTGGTTTACAGCAAGTTATTTTTTACAGCATTAGCCTAACCCAACGTTAATTTAGTACTTTTGAACAGTAATATTTAACTTTAATAATTACTTTTGCATAGAGGACCTGCGGTGATGAAATTTCAATTCAGAGTGATAGACTTGAGTGTCAATTTTAAAGGGGTGGTGATGGCGCAGTGGATAAGACACATGCCTTTGGTGTGAGAGACCCAGGTTCAAATCCACTGTGAGACACAAATGTGTCCCTGGGCAAGACACTTAACCCCTAGTTGCTCCAGAGGCGTGCGACCTCTGACCTATATAGCAATTGTAAGTCGCTTTGGATAAAGGCATCAGCTAAATGAATACATGTAAATGTAAATCCTTATATCAAAGTAAAAAGAAAGCATAAATTTAACACTTTTGCAAGTTAATAAATAAATAAATAACGTCATGTAAGTTAACTTTAGACACTTGTCTTTTAATATTGCAATGGCTGTTAAAAATGCCCAATTTACCTGATTTTATTTGAATAAATAAACAAATGATCAAATAGAGTAATTTCAGGTAAACTAGAATACCTTTCGACATCGAGATCACTTCCAAAAAGTAGGGACATGAGATTTATTGGCCAATGTATCAGCATCGGCCAAATATGTAAATTTTATGATGTTATCGACTCAATCATAAAATCTGAATTGATATATTAAAGATATTAAAGCCGATAAATAATGGATATTTTCCTTCAACCGAGACACTTCAGATGCTCACTGTTCGCCAT